AGTAGTAGTAGTAATCGTAATAGTAGTAGTAGTAGTAGTAGCAGCAGTAGTAGTAGTAGTAGTAGTAGTAGTAGTAGTAGTTTTAGAAGTCATAGTAGTAGCAGGAGTATTCGTAGCAGTAGTAGTAGTAGTAGTAGTAATAGTAGTAGTAGTAGTAGTAGTAGTAGTAGTAGTAGTAGTAACAATCGTACGAGTACTAGTACGAGTACTAGTACTAGTATTAGTAGTACAAATCGCAGTAATAGTAGTAGTAGTAGTAGTAGTAGTAGTAGTAGTAGTAGTAGAAGTAGTCGTAGTAGTAGTAGTAGTAGTAGTAGTATTAATAGTAGTAGTAGTAGTAGTAGTAGTACTGGTGGTAGTAGCAGTAGTAGTAGTAGTAGTAGTAGTAGTGGGGGTAGTGGTAGTAGTAATAGTGGTATTAAACGAAGAATTAGAAGCAGTACCCTTGGCAACCGCAGTAGCAACAGTAATAACAACAGTAGTAGCAGCACCACTAGTAGTAGTACTAGTTGTGGTAACATTAGACATCGTCGTCGTGGTCGTTGTTGGCATCCTCGAGCTCGGTCCTGGCACGGCGACGATGTGGCACCCGTGACGGCCATAGCACGACAACGACATTAGCGCGCCGACTTTGCGCTCCTCAACCTCAGCCTCATCCTCCTCCTCGTCCTCCTGAAGTGGCCTCCCGGGTCTGGTCCGAGCAGATGGTGTCGGCAGGTCGCTCCGCATCGCCAAGGCATGGCCGATGCATCGGCGCTGTCGGCGATGCATCGGTGACATCTGCGTGGCACAAACATTGGGCTCCACATCGAGCCGCACCGTTGATGCGTCGGCGATGCGGCGCGATCCCTCGAACCCACACACTCGCCACGACGGAGGAGCACGGAGTAATTACGCTCTTGGCGGCGAGCGAGGGGGGGAAGTGAGAAGGCGACGGCCTTCTCAGAAGGCTCGGAAGTCCACCGGCCTTCTGAGAAGTGTTCCAGCCCTTCCCCGAAGACACAAAACGCCTCTGAAGGCGCGAGGGCTTCTGAGAGGCCCCGCCGACTTCTGAGAAGGCCTTCTCCTCCTCACTTCCCGCCCTCGCTCGACGCCGACGCTCGCAGGACAACCCCTGAGGGCGGGTGCATAGCCTGTTGCGTCGGTGCCCTCCTCCTCCTCCTCCTCCTCCTCCTCCTCCTCCTCCTCTTCCCCCTCTTCCTCCTCCCCCTACCTGCGCGCGGTGACACTCCACGGGGGCCGCCCCCGCCACCCACGGCCCTCGAGGCTCCGACCCCGTCTGGGAGGCATGGCTCCCCGGCCCGAGCGCGGGGCCCCGATCCGCCCGACGACGGCCCCCGGAGGCCCACCACGACGGGAGGCCGCCAGGGGTCAGGTCGGGCGTGTCCTCCTGCAGGCCCCTTTTGGGCGACGAATGAAACGTGTCCCAACCAAAGAAGTCCAAAAAGTAGTCGAAGCAATCGCCCCCCGACGATTTCTCTGCTTGCTAGCTTTGCACATACCTCCCGTGGAGGGACGTGCCCGACCCGAGAGAAGCCGCCAGAGGACACGAAGACGTGCAGATCGGCGCTCCGAAAGCTGCGCCCCTGGGCGCGCGAGCGCGCGCGAACTGGAGGTGCCGCCTCCGCCGGGGACGCCCCGCTCGCATGCCGTCGACGGGCGTTCGCTTGCCGCCGACGCTCCGACTCCGGGACAGCCCCCGCGCGCTCCGCTCCTGTCCGACCACGGCGGGGGCGCTCGTGCACGCGGCCCCGTGCGCGCGAGCGCGCGCGAACCGGAGGCGCGCGCGAGCGCGCGCGCGGGGGCTGGGCGCCGCCTGGAGGTGCCGCCTCCGCCCTGCTTCGCCCCGAGCAGCGGCAGCCTCGAGCTGCCCTGCGCCTCCCGCCCCGCGCCGCCGGCGGGGCCCAGGCGGACGGCACCGAGCGGCCCCAGCTCTGAGGAGGAGGAGGGGGGGAGGAGGAGAAGGAAGGAGGAGGGAGGAGGGAGGAGAAGGAGAGAGGACGAGGAGGAGGGAAGAGGCAGGAGGCGGAGGAGGGAGGAGGAGAATGAGGCGGGAGGAGGAGGGAGGAGGAGCGAGGAGGAGGAGGAGGAGGAGGAGGAGGAGGAGGAGGAGGAGGAGGAGGACGGAGGAGGAGGAGGAGGGAGGAGGAGGGAGGAGAGGAGGGAGGAGGAGGAGAGGAGGAGGATGAAGGGAGGAGAAGGGAGGAGGAGGAGAATGAGGCAGGAGGAGGAGGGAGAAGGAGGAGGAGGGAGGAGGGAGGGAGGAGCAGGGAGGAGGGAGGAGGAGGGAGGTGGGGCGGACGAACGGACACCGAGGAGGGGAGGGGAGGAGGGGAGGAGGAGAGGAGGAGAGGAGGGGGCTCGGCCCAGGAAGGCTGAGTGGTCAGCGCCGCAGCGCCCAGCCGTCCATCGAGCAGAATGCAGCGTGCAGTTCTGGCCGTGCTGCAGAGTCCGAAGTAACAGCTCCCCAGGCGTTGGGTGAAGCAGCGGTACCTTTATCGCTCAAGAAAGCAGCGGGGAGGAAGGGGGGAGGGGGGGAAGGAAGGGAGAGGGGGGAGGGGAAGGACGATCGGCGGCGAGCCCGCGGGGGAAACGAGAGGGGGCAAACCTTCCCACAAAACGGCGGGGCTTCTCGGGATGCCTCCGGCCTCCTGGGGAGTCGTCTCCGTCTTCGTGCACAAGAAACCTTCCACGAGAAGCCCAACCCTGAGACCCCAGGACGTCCACTGACTTTTGGTGTGGGGACGTCACGCTTTCCACAGCAAGACCATCGAAGCCCAAGAAACCCAGGGCACCCTGGAGGCAAGCAGGGTGTTTCTTGGCACGGGTCTCCACTTATCTGGCTGTCCCCCGTCCCCATTTCTCTCCCTCTCCCGGGGCCCAATATCCCCTTAGAGTCAGGTCGGGCCTGTCCCCCTACAGGGGGAAGTTGGGCGAAACATTAAGACTATTCAAAACGTACTCACCGATTTAACCTTAGAGGGGGGGAGGGGGGTCGACGAGCTCCCCTGCGAGCCCTCGGAGCCTCCAAGGCCGCCCACCGCGGCCATCGAGACGCCCAGGATGCAGTCCACGATGGCCCTAGGGCTCCGACGCGCCACGGAGACCTCCAGAACACCTCAGGACGACCTCAGGACGACACCCAATATGAGTATCGTTTAACCGATCCCCATCCCAGGCGGCGTGGCCTGGGCCCCACTGGCCGATTCACCCCCCTGGATGGGGATCTAGGCCGTTCCCTTCGGGCTTCGAAGGGTCTATCCCCAACTGCGGGGTACTTTGGCGGGGGTCTCGAAGGGGATGGGGATGGGGATGGGGGTCGGTTAAACGATACTGACAAGAGGCCTGGAAGGCGCCCAACGAGGCCCCAGGAGGACCCACGACACAGGCACGAGAAGCAAAAATCAGCGCTTCCCCCTAGAAGCGTTGGAATGACTTCCGCAATCTCGCCACGTCGGGGTTCTGAACCCTGAGACGGCACGCGGAGCCCCCCACACTGGCACGAGACGGCGGAAGAGGCCCCCAGGAGAGCCGGGAGGTGGCTCACGAGGCTCCCCAGACTGCCAACGAGGCCCCCAAGATTGCCCAAGAGGCACCCAACTGGGGGACCCACGAGGGGCCAGAGAGGCCCCCAAGGGGGGGCGAGGTGTGTGCCGAAAGGGGCGTGGCAGACGCCTGTGGCCACGCCCCCTCGGGCCTCAGGTGGAGCTCCCTGTGGGGCCACGAGACGTGAGGGGTGCGCCGCGGCGAAGCGTGGCGAACGCATGTGGCCGCACCCACTGGGAGGGCGTCCAAAACGGCCTTGGCGACGAAGCCAAAATTATCAGTTTACAAGGTTTTGGCCCCATTTTGGCCTCTTGGGAGGCGAGGCTAAAAACTGCCCCCCCGTCTTTGATCGCTCTCCTCCGAGATGGCCCCACGAGCGTTCCAAAGGCCTCCAAGGGTGCCCCCCAAAGGCCTATGGGGCCACGAAGCGTGCGAGGGGTGTGCCCAAATGGGTGTGGCGAACGCATGTGGCCGCACCCGCTGGGGCCTCGTGTGGAACTCCCTATGGGGCCACGAAGCGTGCGAGGGGTGTGCCGGAGTGGGCGTAGCGGACGCGTGTGGCCGCACCCGCTGGGGCCTTGTGTGGAACTCCCTATGGGGCCACGAAGCGCGTGAGGGGTGAGCCGAGGCGAAGTGTGGCAAACGCATGTGGCCGCACCCACTGGGACCTTGTGTGGAACTCCCTAATGGGGCCACGGAACGTGTGAGGGGTGTGCCGAAATGGGTGTGATGATGACGGTGACGAGAATGACGATGGTGGTGATGACTGGCGCTGACATGCGGAGGGCAGGGGCAGGGATGGGAGGCAGGGAGAGCAGGAGTCAGGAGGAAGAGGTGGGGTGAGGAACGCGGGGCGCTGTCTCTGCAAAACGAACACCCCACACCACATGCTGGTTGGGAATGCGTACGATGCCCAACAACAAATGTTGCCCCAAACCGACAGCGGTCGCTGTTGGGTATGAGGCCTTCTGTCTCAGATGGGTGACACCCCTGGCGGAACCGACTGCGGGTCCTGCCGGAAATGAGCACATACTGATGTCGGTCTTTGTGCATCATCTGTCCGTACAGTGGAGACCAGTCCACAAGAAACCTCCCACAAGAAGCCGCAGAAGGAGCGCCAAATACGAAACGAATGGGGTTTTCCTGGACATTGCGGGCCTCGCCCACGGATCGGTTGCCCGACCTGGGTCCAAGGAGCCGCCCAAGACCCTGGGCCCCTCTCGAAACCAAAGTGGTCCTTCTGGCAGCGCCGTGACTGCAACACGAATCATACACAGAATACGGATGATAAGATGCTGCGAGTAGTCGTACATCCCGGTACAGTGACGAAGACAACGAAGAACACGAACAAGAGGACGAAAAAACAACGAAGAAGGCGAAAGCGAAGGCGAGGAATAAGAAGAAGAAGAAGAATAATAAACAGACGAAGAACACGAAGAGGCCGACGGCGGGGCCTCGCCCGCGAGCTCGCCCACCGCGCGGCGGAGGCCAGCGAGTTCGCCGCCGTGAGCCTCGCGGGTGCTCTGCCCGCCCGCGCGGGGAGGTCCCCGGCCCCTCCCCTCGGGGATCCGGGAGGGGGCGGGGGGGAGGGGAAGGGAGGTAGGGAGGAGGAAAGAGGAGGAGGTGGAGGAGGAAAAGGGAGGTGACGGGATGGGGAGAGAAGGGAGGAAAAGGCAGGGGAGAAAGGGGAGGAAGGGGGAGGAGGAAGAGGGGAGGAAAGGGAGGAAGGGGGCGCGGGAGGAGGATGAGGGAGGAGAGGGGAGCAGAGGGGGGAGGCCACAGCCACTCGAGCCGCAGTGTCCGCAGGACGCGCTGGCACGCGAGGAGGGAGAGGAGGAGGATCGCACGCCACCGAGGGGAAAGGGGGGAAACGGTTCGACGGTCCCAAAAACCCAGGGGGGCCCACCGGAGTGGACCTTTTTGCCACCCTGGCAGGAAGGCCAACGACTTGCCAGGGGCCAACGACAGGCCCCCCCCCCTGGGCATCAACAGACCGCCTCCGCGTCCTCCAGATCGTGGTCCGGGGTACGCTCTCGCAGATTTGGTCCCAACTTGGCCGCTTCGGACTTATTCAGCCCACAGGCCTGGAGGACATCGGCCACGCACAAAAATGCATCTCGGCCAGCTTCGGGCCTTACACAACTACTTCCTCTCTGCTGGGCCTGCTTGGGCTCCTCCGTTCCCCCAACCAGCTCCCGCGCCCAGGCCCCAGGAGTTCTCCGAGATCCCAGCTTGAGAGGCCTGTTACGGTGCTTCCCTCTGAAGATCGCCCTCGAGTTCTTCCTGCCATGGTCTACAAGGGCATGCTGGGAGCCTTCGCATCCCCTTCCGAGGCCCCGAGATCCCAGACACCGTGGCGTATGCCCGAAAGGTCGAGCAACAAAGGATCGGTGGCTGCCCTTCAGTCGCGATCGAGAACTCAAGCAGGGCATGTCCTCCTATGAGGAGGAGGAGGAGGAGGAGGAGGAGGAGGAGGAGGAGGAGGAGGATCCGTAGCCATTTTGGCTCAAGTCCGGAGTGCTTTGGCACAGGACCTGACCTCACTGGCACGGGGGAGTGACGGCCCCCGAAGTCACGCCTCGCTGCCTGGTCAGACGAGGTCTTTCGGCGTTTCTTTATTGAGTATTCTTCCAGGGTCGGATGGCCCCTCAGAGACATGGTGGCGCCACGTTCGATACCTGGCAGTGTCAGCACAAGCGGTGCGGGTACCGCTTCAACTTCCTCACGCGCACGCACTGCCGCGCGTGCGGCCGCCCTGCGCCCAGTGCGCCTGCCCCCTCTGAGGGCACACGCACGCTGGGCGCCTGGCTGCAAGGGCCGCCTCAGGTCGGTGGCCAAGGCGGCCAGGTCAGCGGCGGCGGCGGCGGCAAGCGTGCCAACAGCGGCGGCGGGTCAGGGCAGGGCGGCGTCAAGCTCTCGTACCTGGACCCCTCGGCCATCGACATCTACGCCAAGCTCGAGGCTGCTGACTTCGAGGCCGTCTCCGCTGACTGGACGCACAAGCTGGTGGCCAAGGTGGTCGCACACCGTGCGCCACGGACTGGCGAGCCGCGTGCGGAGGCGCGCTCGGCACGCATCGAGCAGGACGTCCTGGCTGACAAGCGCGACAAGGCGCAGCGGGCCTTCAACCGAGCTCAGGAGGCAGCCCTCAAAGCCGCCACGGCGGCGGCGACGGCGATTAAGGAGCTCGACGAGGCCAAGGCGCGCTGTGCGGAGGCGGCGGCGCGTGCTGCCCAGGCCTGCCAGAGCATGGCGCAGTCGGTGGACCCCGCGAAGGCGCTTGCTGCCCTGGCGGACGGGCTCAAGGCGGACCCTAGGCTCACCGACTTCGCCCAGCAGCTGCAGGCGCTTGCCCCCACGCTGCGGCAGCTCGCCGAGCCCGACGTGGTCATGCAGGGCGTCGCTCCTGCTCCAGGGGCTGCGGGTGTTCCCGCTGCTGGCGCCGCTGGCGTCGCTCCTGCAGCCGACGGCGCCCCCGAGGCAGCTGCTGCTCAGCCGCTTGGCGGGGCCGCCGCGCGCGCCCCAGCCACCCCAGAGGAGGCGGCTGCGCGGGAGGTCGCGGGCATGGCGCAGGCCGAGGCCGAGGCGCAGCGCGCCGCACGCGCAGCCAGTGACGCAGCAGCAGTGCGGCAGCGTGCCCAGGCCTCCCACACTGAGTTGCTCGCCTGGCTGGAGCAGCAGCGTGCTGGACAGCAGATTCAGCCCGAAGCGGAGCAGCAGGGTGTCAAGCACGAGCTCGTCCAGGGGATCTTCGACCAGCTCATCGAGGCCGCTAAGAAGAAGGCTCGTGTGGACGGGGTTGCTGAATCGGATATTTAGCGTCACCCTGGTCACCGTGAATGTGTCTGGCTGTAGTGGTATGGAGGCCGCCCTACGGCATGAGCAGATTCGAGGTGCCGCTGCAGTCGCTGTGCAGGAGCACCACATGTTGAGAGACAGGTGCGACATCTGGGAGCACAAACTTCGTGGTATGGGATGGCGTGCTGCCTTCACCGCGGCCGCCGCCACCTCGCAGGGTGGCACTTCAGGTGGACTGTTGCAGCGTGTGCCCGCGGCCGCTGGATTGTCTGAGGTTGAGTGCGTGCCTAGCGTCATGCATGAGGGCCGTGTTCGCATTCTGCAAAGTCATGGACTCACGCCTCTAGGCTTTCTGTGGGTCAATCTCTACCTTCACCATTCTGAGGTCTTGTCTAAGAAGAATTGGGTCATCCTCACTGACGTGGGGCAGGTGGTGAAAGCTGTAAGTTTGCCGTTCGTTGCGTGGAGATTTCCAGATGCCTCCTGAGGAGCTCCAGGGCAGTCTTTGGGTTGAAGCGTTAGACGGAGTTTGCTGGTTCCCATCGGTTGCCACTTGCACTAGTGCTGCCGCCTCTGCTGGTCGTGTCATCGACTATTCTGTCGTTTCCCATTCGCTGTCGCATCGTCCTCGTGTCCTCATTGTGCCTGGTGCAGGCACCTCACCACGCTGTCCAGTGCTACTGCAGCTCTCGCCACTCTCGCAGTGCGGGCTCGAGTTTCGCGCAGCACGTGTGCCTCAGCGTTTCCCCTTAGAGGCTCCAGTGGCGTGCAGAAGGACTGATCCTCAGTCGCGATGGCAGCATTTCTGCGAGCAGATGTCAGGGCCCCCACTCGCGGGGAAGTGGCGGTTGTGGGTAGCCAATGCTGAGTTTGAGCTCGCCGATGTGCACGACCTCACGCCTGTTGAGAATCCCGAGTATTATGGCAGGGCATTCTCTCTACAGTTCTACACGCGCAAGCCTTTGCTTCCGCGCCCGCTTGCGTTCCCCACGCTCAGCCCGGCTGCCCTCTGGTGGCGGCTTTTGGCTCGCTGCATTGAAGGCCTGGCGCGCTGGCAGCCGCCAAATTCACGTGCTAGCACCCTCAAGCTAGGTCGCAGCGTCCAGGCACGACGCAAAGCTTGCGGCGTTCCGATTCAGGAAGCCGAACCCTGGCTAATGCTTCTTCAATTGTCTCTCTCCTTGCCGTACGAGCTAGCCTCAGCAGCGGCGAAGGTCACTGGTGCGCGAGCGTGGCAGTTTTCAAGCAGGCAGAGAGAGGCAAGCAGGCGGGCTGGCGGGATTGGGTGCGCAGGCACTCGATCGACGGCGCGGCTGCTCTGCATGCTTTCTCCAAGCCTGCCGCCCCCTGGCACACCGGCTCTTTAACAGCTGGCAAGCCATGCGCCCTTCACCAGGAGGTGGAGGCTCTCGAGGTGGAGTGGTCGGGTTGGTGGAAGGTTGGAGCTATTAGCGACCAGATTGAATGGCCGACGGATCTTGGCCCTCCATTTTTGCGACCTTCGCTTGAGCAGCTGAAGGCGTGCGTGCGCTCGTTTCCGCGACGGTCAGGATGCGGTTTTGACCAGCTCTGCCCGCGCCAGCTCTTGCACCTGCCCGACGAAGCGTTGGGCACTTTCCTCGATATGTTGGTTGAAATTGAAACCTCCGGCACTTGGTCTTCTATCTGGACCAAGGTCGTGTTTCGTTCTACACGCGATGGGGGTTTCCGACCCATCGCGCTTATTCACATTCTAGCTCGCGTGCAGGGGAGGCTTCGTAAGCCCCTGGTAGCAGCTTGGCAGCAACAGCATGATCGGCCTTACTGGTGGTCCACGGCTGGACGCTCGTCGGACAAACTGGTTTGGCTACAGGCTTCTGCCGCTGAGTGGGGTAGAGCACGGGGTTCCTCCAGCGCCCTAGTGCTTCTTGACCTTGCCAAAGCATTTGAGCATATCAGGCACGATGTATTGTTGCAGGCTGCTTTGCGCTCAGGCTTTCCAGCGCGGCAGCTAACATTGCTGGTAGAGCACTATCGCTGTCCACGAGTGCTTCCTCTTAGTTAGGCGACGTCCATGCCTATTTATACTCTGCAAGCAGTGCTGCCAGGGTGCCACTTTGCCACTCTAATGTTGCAGCTTGTGCTGCTGTCGCCTCTAGACGCCGCGCAGGAAGCGTTGCCGCACATGCATCTCGGGAACGTTGTGGACGATGTTGGCCTGCAACGGCTCGGCAGAGAGGAAGACGTAGCTACAGAGCTTGCAGGTGCCACTCGTTTGTTTCATTCGCAGTTTTTTTTTGTTTTTTTATATTAAAGAAAAAAAAAAAACGTCAACTTGCCCATTGCGTTGAAAAAGAGTCGGTTTGTTGCCTCAAGTATCAGGCTCCGTGGGCCCCTTGAGGCCCGACTTCGCTCTGTCAAGCTCAACGGCGTTTGCACTGAGAGGAACCTCGGCATCGACTTTGCCGCTGGCAAGGTTCACAAGCAATTTGTCCGCGCCAGCAGAAAAAAAAAAGCCAGCCGTCACCCGAGCACGCAAGTTGCTGGCCCTGTCGCCTTTTGCTTGCAAGCGGCAGCTACGCGCGATGCCCCGCAGCGCTGCACTGTCTTCTCACACTTACGGGTGCAAGGTGCTGGGCACCACTGGCACAGATCTCAGACAAGCGCGAATGCTGCAGGCCAGAGTGCAGGCGAACAATCTCGATGGCAAGAGTGTGACGCTGCTGCTCATGCTCAGTGAACGTCGTCAGATCATCTCAGATCGACCCTGCATATGAGCTGCAGTGTGCTCCTCTTTTGCAGTTTGCCACCGCGGCGTGGGAGCTATGGCACCCACAAGCGATGCTGGAGCAAGGATTGCGAGACGCTGTTGTGAGGCTCGCTGATCACGGCAATCCTTGGGCCAGCATCCGTGGCCCTTTCTCTGCATGCGCTGCTACAGCTTTGCGACTTGGCATCAGCATGCAAGGCTTTGTGTGGTCTCATCCTCGGCATGTCGAGGTCTCTATTGTGCAGTCAGGGCCTCGCACCGTCCGCAAGTGGCTTCATCAAGTGGTGTTGCAGTGGCTCTGGGAAAAAGTGGCCTCGAGAGAAGGTGTTCCTGAGCTCTCTCTTGGGTGCAATTTTCAGCCTCTGCAGTCCCTTTTAGCCTCTAGTGGTCTCAGACACGATGAGAAGGCCTACCTTAGGAGTGTTGTTGCTGGGGGGCAGTGGCCTCAGCATCGTCAGTGGCTTGCGCAGTACACCGCCGACCCCCTTTGCTGCTTGTGTCAGCAGGCCCCTGGCACGCTCCTGCATCGTCACGCGTGCTGTGCGGGCCACGATGACCTCATGGCACAGGAGGTCCCGCCTGAGTTTTTGACCTCTGTTGTCAGGGCGTGCGTGGATCCTCTTCCTCTCCTCTTCGCCGAGAGGCTCCTCGTCCCCGAGGCCCCCCTTCCTCCTGCGATTCCCCTCCCTGATCGGTGGTCCGGCGGAGGACCCACTGAGATGGCAGGCCATATCTTTCTCGACGCTAGCTGGATGGACCAGCATCTGCCGCCAGCGTCTCAGGCTGTCGGCTGGGCCATTGTCAGCGTGCAACCGCGCCATCCGTACAAGGTCTTTTCGGTGATGTGCGGCACTCTCCAGTCGGCGTGCCGAGATGTTGACTGTGCAGAGCTGTTTGCCTTCAACCGCGCGTTGCAGCATAGTGTTCCTGGCAGTATTTTTTACACCGACTCTTCGTTTGTCCACGATGGAGTATACCAGCGTGGCAAGGTGTACTGTTGTTCCTCACGCGCAACCTGGTCCGAGTTATGGGTTCAGGTCTGGCGCCGCATCGAAGACTGGGGCGGCATCGAGTGTGTGGACCTGCGCAAAGTCAAAGGCCATTGCACCGAAGCCCGCATCCAGTCTGGACTATCGACTCGTTTTGAAAAAGAGGGTAACGCGCATGCTGATGAATGGGCTCAGTGGGTTGCCTCGAGAGCCCGCATAGACCTTGAGCGCCGCCGTGTTCGCAAAGCTAAGGCCCTCGTGCTCGCTCAGTGGGCGTCCTGGGTTGCGCGCATTGGGCCTCGTATGTGTGACGCTGATTGTGAGCATGTCCCTCGGCAACTGCGCAGGGCTCGAGGCTCAGGCGCAGTGGGCTGCCCTGCGCCAAGGGTGGTGGTGGAGCCCCCGCCGCCAGTCACGCCGCGCAGTCTGTCGAGAGCAGACCTGGCTTCTGTACGGGTGCAGCTTGCGGATGAGAGGCCGCATGTTATGCACCCCTTCGCCGTTATTGGGGACGGTGGGCGGAGGCTGTGGTGTACTGTGTGTGTTGTGTGTGGGTTGGGTGGGGTCAAGATCTCTGCGAACTTGTCACAGGGTTGTCGAGGCCCTCCCGCATCAGGCACGTGGGGTGCTCGAGTCCTCTCGGGCCTCACGCGTGCGCATGCACGTTTTCAGGTCAATCGTGTGTGGCGGTACCTCGAGGATCCGCTGCGCACGGCCTCCCTGATCCGTGCAGGAGTAGTGCAGCCGCTCTCGAGCAGCGCTGCGCCGTGAGGCGCGGCCTCCACGTCTGCCAGCCTGTGTGCTGGCCTTGCCTTTCATTTCTGGGCACTGTTCGGGAGGCGCCACCCGCCTCTGGCTCTTGCCATGCGGTGGCGTAAGTGGCATGTGGCGCGGACAACTTTGTTCGCGTTCAGGCTGAGTCGAGGAGGAGGAGGAGGAGGAGGAGGAGGAGGAGGGGAGAAACAACAGGAGGAGGAGCAACTTAGGAGGAGGAGGAGAATTGAGGAAGAGGAGGAGGAGGAGGAGGAGGAGGACGAGGAGGAGCAGCAGAACGGAGGAGGAGGAGGAGGAGGAGGAGGAGGAGGAGGAGCATCCGGGGGGATTATGCTGGGGTTGCGCAGCAGGGGCCACTCGCTAGGGGAGGGGGGCGAGGGGGCAGGCAGGACAACGGGGAGGAGGGCCAGGGCGCGCCAGTTCCGAGATGCGCAATGCGCATCCCACTCGCCTCCCCCTCCCTCAGCTCCCCCTCCACCTCCCCTCCTCGCTTATCCTAGCCTCCACCCCCTCCTTGAACTCCCCCCTCCTCCGCATCCTCCTTCGCGTCCTCCCTGCTCTCGTCGCCCTCCTGCTCCTCGTCCATCCTCTGCCTCTGCTGTGGTTCCCCCTCCCCGCTCGGGGCACCTCCAGCCGCTTCTCCAGCCGCGCGGCGTCCCCGTGGTTGGCCTCCCGCGAGGCCTGCAGCTGCTCCCAGGCGGCAGACAGGCGCTCCTCAGAGGAGGCGAACGGGCACAAGATCGATCGGCACGGGGGATCACGGGCGTGTGGCTACGCGTCGCCGCCGTCGTCGTCGTCGTCATCGTCGTCGTCGTTTTCACCGTCGTCGCTGGCGTCGTCGCCGCCGTCACCGTGGCAGCCGCCAACATCGTAGCCAGCGTCATGGGGGGAGGGCGGTTTGCTCGAAGGACCGGGGGCTTCTTCGACAGTAGCTTGTGGCTCCTGGGAAGTACGCGCTGTCGAGGGGGGTCGGGGGGGGGACAACCCCTTAGGCGCGCCAAGGGTGCGTTATCCCTCCTGGTGCGTCGCCCCCTGGACGCGCCAGGGGCGGGTTATCCGCCCCTGTGCGTGCGCGAATCGTCAGGGGGGGTGGGGGGCAGCTTGTTGTTTCTCACGCTAGAACAGTGATTGGCCGAACCTCGCGGCCTACAAAAAGAATGAGAGAAGTGAGATGGAGCGCGAGGAGTTCGAAGGAGGAGGAGGAGGAGGAGGAGGAGGAGGAGGAGGAGGGAAACAATGGGGGAGAGGAGGATGAGGAGGAAAACGAAGAGGAATAATAGGAGGAGGAGGAGGAGGAGGGAGAAGCGGGGAGCAGGAGGAGGAAAAGGACGACAGACGAGAAGAGACGAGAAGAGACGAGACAAGGAGGAGGAGGAGGAGGAGGACGAGAGATAAGAAGAGACGAAACGAGGCGAGGCGAGGCGAAAAGAAGAGACGAGGAGAGGAAACATGAGGGAATGAGGAGGAGGAGGAGGACGAAGAGTGATGGGGGAAGGAAAAGGGCCACGACGATGAGGACCTTCCAGACACCCCACATCTCTGACGGTATACTGTACATCCTCAGTTCCAGGGCGAAGCGGCCTCCACTTAGGTTAGGACTGGCCTCCTGCAGGCGGATTCTTGACGACAGATAGCATAATTCAAAGACGGCCACTGCAACTCGATCTCCGACGCTTCCCTGGGGAAGCAGCACGGGAACGCGAACGATTTAAAAGAGATAGTCTCCTTGCGTGAGGAACTGAATTGCCAAGGCGGTTCACAAGTTTGCTTGCGCAGGTCATATGCCTCGCCACAAGAGCATGCAAGACCCTGCGCACTCCTCACTCGAGTTTGGAACCCACCTCGGGTGGGCGGGGGCGCAGCGGGGCCAAACGCATCCAACATATAAACCGGCTGTCCCAAGAAAGCCGAAACGAATCTGGGTGGACGCATGGGCCTTCCTGAAAATCATATGTCAAGCTCTGCTTGTTGAAAAACGGCCACCACATCTAGGTCTGCGAAGATTGAACATTTAATTAGAGAAACCCCTTTTCATCAGGACCTGAATTGCCAAAGCAAATCACATATTTGCCTGCGCAGGCCAATGCCTCGCCACACTCCCCTTGCCAGCGATGGCCCATCACAAAACATGGAGAAGAGAACCGGAATGACCCACTCACAAGGAACGACACTTCCACAAGGGATACGACGTTGCAGCATATTCCGGGAAGCGAGACGCATATCCGCAGGGATGCGCAGGGAATACCGAACTCACCTCACATGGTCGCAGTATTTCGCGAGCATTGCTTTGACCACCACCTCCCAGTCACATGGTGTCAGCGAGAGGCGCGCAGAGACGGGTGCGAAACAGGGCAGACATCTGATCGGGCTTACACAACAGCAAATAAATAGTGGTCAAGCACAGGCCACGGCAAGGGAGCTCCTCGGCTACAGCTGCGCTCGCCGAACATGTCGCCGTCTGCTGGCGTCGCGGCGACCCTCGGCCTCGTCGTCGAAAAGCTGATGTTCCGCCCAGGGCGCCTGCCAAGCGCGGTGGCCATGTCGCGGTTGCCTCCGCGCCTCCGGGAGCGCCCTCGCCGCCGCGCGAGCCAGGACCTCGCGCGGCCGCGCAGGATGGCGAGGCAACTGCGCCGCGGCGGAGCCTCCATCGGAGGGCAAGACCACGCAGCCCCGCACGGCGGCGACGGCGACTGCAACGAAGCCCCACGGCCCCCCTGAACGCGGCGTCGTTGGCGGCGATGGGGGCGAGCTTCTGAGATACTGCCCCGCGGCGGCACTGATCGAACGAAACGACGCGCAGCCCGGACTCCGCCGCCCAATCAACCGCCCCACGAGCGCACAAAAAATGGAACGGCGACTCACCTAGGTCCTGAGGGCGCCCCTGCCCTGCCCAATCGCCACGCGGGTGGGCCCGCGTGAACAGCTCGAGGCAGGAAAGGAAGAGGCGTGAGCTCACTGCACCGGCGCGTCGCTCTGAGGCCGTCAGTCCAGGCAATGGCAGGAGCGGCCCCCCGCTGGAGCGCTGCCGCCGCGGCCCCCGGCGACCCGCGAAGGGGCGGCGCCTGGCGCGGCTCGCGTCGAGGAAGGCGGCCCCGCGAAGAAGCCCGCGACGTCGCTATTCGCCGACCGCCAGGTCGTAGGCTTCACCGCTTCACCGCCAGGCCTGCCTCGCGCGCCCCCCGCTCGACCACGTCGCACAAGTTCCCGCGCCGCCTGGGGCCCGAGCAGCTGCGAAGGAAAAGCGCCCCGCGGCTGCCGCAGCCATCCGGTGTCGAGTGAACGACCTCCAGGCGCGGCAGCGGCTGCAGCGGCTGCCCGGGCTCCTGAGCGGCCCGCGCCCCGCGCCAGCTGCTCGGCTCGTCCGCGGGTTTCTTCCGCGTCGAGATCCAGAAGTGGAAGCGCGAGAAACCGCCCGCCAGGTCGATCGCAGCTCCGCGGCGGCATCGACGATTGACCTACTCCCCTGGACGAAGGCGGCCTCGCAAGGCGCGTTGCCCCGGGCGCGCGGCGCCGCGCGACCGAGCTCGGAAGGGGCGGCGCAGGCGGGCCCCCATGCTCCACGGCTTCGCGCGGGCCTCCTCCAGAATGACGCGCCCCCTGCCGCCAGGGCGCCCCGCCTTGAACCGGCGCGGGGAGGTGGCAGGGTCACCCTGGCCAAGCTGCAGCGGCCCTCGAGGTCCACGTCGACCCCGTGGCCGTCGCCCCGGGCGGTGCAGGGCGCCCTGTGGTCCGCCCACAGCGCTGAGTGGCGGGTCGCCTGCTCGGGCGGCGTCGCCCAGGCCATGCCGTGGCCCCCTGGCGCGGAGGTCAGTGCACTCCACGCGGGCGCGCCACTAGGCCCCCTAGTCCTGCTCGGCGAACGGCATCAGTATAGCGGGCAGCAGCCGCTCGCGCCACGCCGGGGGGGGCCAGACCACGCGGCGGCGCCCCAGCAGCGGCGCGCCCCCCAGCCAGACGAAGACGCGCGAGAGCGCTGACCGCAGGCAAGGGCGGTAGCTCTGGCAGTAGGCGCGCGCTCCCCTACCAGGCGCCCACGCCCTTGCGGCGCGCGTCCTGCTGGCCGAGGAGCGCGAGGGCGGCTGCGAACATGTCAAAGCGCCGTCGGCGGGTCGCGCCGACCCAGTGCTGCGCGGGGTGGGCCCCCATGCCCTGGAGCGCCCCCAGACCTCCGTCAATGGACTTACCGTGATGCACTAGAATACCCATGCAGTCCCAGGCGCGCTCCGCCATGGTCATCCAGAAGGCTGGCGAGCTGCGCGCGCGGCCGCCTGCCGAGCGCTCGTCCAGCGCCCAGCGGGCATCCACGATGGGCCCCCAGAGAGGCAGCTCGGCGGGGCAGGGCCAATCGAAGGTGACCCCCTGCGCCCCTGGGGCAAGCCAGCTTCCAGGAAGGCCGTGTCCGGCGCCGCCTGAGCCCAGCCCGCCGAGGGTGCAAAGCGCCCGTTAAAAGAGGTAGACCTGCTCGGCAGCGCCTCGCGGGTCGGGCACGGGAGGATTGCGCCGGTGCTTCCCAATGGCGAGCTGGTGGAAATAATGCCGAATGTCGCGCTTCCAAAGCTTCGCATTTGTCCCTGGCCGCGTCTGGGCCACGCGCAGCCTGGGCGGGCGGGCGACCGCGGCGGCGCGGCGGGATCGAAGTGCTGCTCCACGGGCAAGTCCGAGATCACTAGCTGCTCCGCGCCAAGCTGGCGCGCCCCAAAAGGCCCCTGCCGCGAGCGACGCTCCTCGAGCCGTAGCCCTGGAGCCCAGCGGCCACATTGCGCGCCGAGGGGCGAGGGTCAGTTGGCCCTGCCAGCGCGCGCGGCCTCTTGATCTTGGCAGGCCGCTGAACAGCGCTGAGGGGCAACGCGCCAGGACGACGAACCTTGGGCCTGAAAACCAAGGAAAGCGTTCGTCGAACAGTCCGTCGAACAGCCCAGCCAGATCAACGGCGGCAGCGCGGCAAGGCACGCCACCGCGCTCACCGAAAAGCTCCGCGTCGCATTTCATGGGCCCATAGCCCTCGGCGCGGCGCAAGAACTCTTGGATCGCCGCGGCCCCAGGCTAATTGAGGTCAACCTCAAGGAGGCAGAACACGCCCAGCAGCAGGCGGCTTTGCGCGCGTCTCTGGGCTTGCGTCGAAAGCGCGTAGTAGTCGGCGACCGCGCCGCACAGGTCAGTCACAGCCGCGATGCACAGGAAGCTCGTCCAAACCAAAGTTGTGCCTGACATTTAGCCCGGACTATGCAAGCTCAGCGCCACAACGCCGAAGCAGAGGGACATGGCAGATCACTGGCGACGACTGCCCGAACTCCACGACACGAGGGCGGCCAAGGCGCCCCCCGCAGAGGGGTACGCCGAAGGGGCCGCCTGCGAGGCCCAGACAAAGACACCGAGCCCGGCCGCAACGGAAGAGAGGGTGAGTTCCTGGCCCCCGCAGCGCAGACATCTCTGTCCTAACGTGCCTCCGCCGCGTGACGCGGTGAGTCTCGGGGGCCTGCCGGCCGCGACTCCTCTGCCAGCGCCCGCCAGCAGCTCCGCGGCCTCCCTCCTCTCCCTGCGACCCCCCAGGGCAATCGCCCTCGGCCCTGCGATGAAGCGTTGCACCCACCAGCACGCCCATAGCCGAGGTCCAGCCCTGGGGGCGGATCAAGTCCATGACCAGCGACAGCGTCTGCACCTCCCTCGGACCTCTCAGCGCGCCGAACCCCGAGTGCGCCTGCGCCCGCGCGTCGACCGACGCCTGGCATCTCAGGCTCGTGTCGCCGAGCAGGCTGTGGCTCAGCCATCGATGCACCGCCGCCTGAAGTACCCCGAAAACGTCCCGAGATGCCGCGCTGCGATGGCCTCCATGCCGCCCCTCTCCTGGGACTTCTGGCCTCCAGCCGCGGCTCCAGCGGGGGGTCCACCCGTCGACTATTCGCCTCCAGGCCCGTCGACTGCAGGCCCTCGTCGTCGCTCACCGAGCTCTCGGCCCCCGACGGCAAGACCCACGAGCCGCTCGCAAGCTGTCGAAGCGCCGACGCCGCGGGCAGGAGGCAGGCCCCCGCCCTTTCGCCGACGGCGGCGCCCACCACCGCGAAGCCCAGCCCCGCGATAGCCACGGGTGCCTCCCCGCCCGCGCCTGGCGTCGCACCCAGCGCGACCTTCAGGGATCGGGGGCGCCGGGCGAGCGCCCTGTCCGCGCCCAGCCGCAGGACTGCGCGGACCGCCAAGGCGCCCAGGGAGACGCCCAGAAGGCCGAGGCTGCAGTCCTCCCCGAGCGGCTGGCCGAAGATCAGCACCTCGTCCTCCACGTCGCCCCGCGACGCCAGCACCCAGCCCGCCGCAGTGGAGCACGCGGCAACACCTGCCGCCAGCGCCACCGCCACACAGGCGTTCCTCCTCCTCCTCCTCCTCCTCCTCCTCCTCCTCCTCCTCCTCCTCCTCCTCCTCCTGATAAGCTCACAACTCACACCCGACGTTAAAGTCAGACCACCCCGCGGGTAGACCAACAGATGCTTAAGCCGTTGGTCCACCGCCCCGTCCCGAAACTTCGTTTGCAACGGCCCCCGCCGCATCCCCGCGGGCGCTGCCCTGAGAAACAACCAGAGGAACGAGTCGCGAAACGGCATTGTTAAATCGACGGCGCCCTTGCGTTCGCAACGCGGGCCCGCAACCGCGACGGCGTAACCGCGCTTGCGCCAATGATGACCCAAAATGGCAACGGGAGGAGACGCAAACGCAAAGGGGAGAGGCATCCGTTAAGATGCGGACTTGGAAAGGGGGGCTGCGGTTGGGAACGGTGAAATGGAGGACGGGGGAAAGAAGGGTGAGGATGAGGAAGACAGGGCGGCAAGAGAACCAGGAGGAGGAGGAAGGCACGAATCTAAGAATGGGCAAGGGAAATGGGCAAGACAAAGGACGAGGAGATGAGGGGGAGGAGTAGGAGGAGGAGGACGAGGAGGAGGAGAGTTGCATGGCTCGCTCGTTGCCAACGCCTAGGGCGCGGAATAGGATAGTAGTGAGCAGTTGGAAGTTGGGAAGGTCCAGCCCCACCGACTGTGCCTCAAGACGGGCCATCTCGAACCGAGTGAGGGTTACATCGATTCGTTCTCCGTGAGGCACATGAAAGTCGATGAGCTGCGTGCCTGAAGTGAGCTGGCGATCATCCTCCAGGCGTTCGAACTTCATGCTTAAGAGGAACCTAATGTAGGTTACTGGGTCGGTGTGGACACCATCGATGTCCGCACCATAGTTTATAATGTCAGGTGGTACCCTCATGGCGAGTGTCCTCGCTAGGCCACCCAGGCCGCGTTGTATGGCGGCTGCTTGGGCATGTGGCGTCATGCGTCCGCTTGTGACGTTAAGCCACGCGTTGACCTCATAAACGTATTCGCGGAAAGGTACGCTGCCTTGAGGGTCCCAGTATGGGCCATGTGTTTGCCCATCTGTGCTGTTGTCTCCTCGGCGCATGTGTCCGATTGCTGCCCCCAGCGCAAACCATATGATGGCGAAGATAACCAACCCGAGGCTGTGAAGATATGGGTGGTTATCAGGCGCGTTGCCGCGCTGGGGTAGCGCCTTGTCATGTATTCGAGGCGTTTTATCTTGCGGGTCTCCCCGCCTCTGCTTCAAGTACTGCGCTCTTGGCTCGTTGCCGAGCGGTTGGTAATAGCGTAGTTATGAAGCGTATATGGTACCAATGTTGTTGTCTAGACGTCGTACCTCTCGTGTTGCTTCTTGCTCTTGAATTGATCCTCGTAAATGTAGTTGGAGTGGTGGCGCAGGGTGGTAGTTGGTCACGAAGATCGTGCAGGATAGCGTGAGGATAAGAAGAGCAAGAGCTGACCACACGAGAGTGCGGCCAGCTCCGCTACCAAGTCTGAAATGACTATGGTAAGTCAAATAGCGTCCAATGCCATGCTGTGTTGGTTCAGTATGGGGAGTGGACGGATAAGATAGGATAAGATCGATGTAAGGATCTTTCCAGCACATAGCGAACACACGCAGTGTCCGGGCAAATAGGGCGCACGTGCCTTGAGCCAAAGGCAACGGCGCGCGGGCTATACTCCCGATCCTCTATAACATCTCCCAAAGAGCTACCCTTAAAGTCCCGGGCCCACACGAGCCCGCCCAGGCCGCCGGCCCAGCCGCCAGGCGCGCCGCCCTCGGCGGCGAGCCGAGCCCCAGGACGCCGCCGCCACAACGGCAGGAAGGCGAATCGCGCGCCACCGCGGCCTCGCCGCCTTGCACGGTGGTGCCCAGGCCGATCGCCACCAGGCGATCTTGAGCCAGAAGAGCGCAACATATAAATCTGTTGTCCCAAGAAAAGTCGAGACGAGGCTGGATGGACGCATGGGCCCCCCTGAAAACCATCTAGCAAGCTCTGCCTATAGCCACAAAGTCAAACAATGCCCAAAGATACTAAAAAATCGTCCCCTTACTATTTCTTTACCATTTTGGAATGTTCCTCCTGTAGAGGGACATGCCCGACCTAAGCCTCCACGTCTGTCCAGCGGCGCGGGAGCACCGCTGCATCCATCAAAACGCCCTGGAGCACTGCGGCACCACAGCAGAGAGCCCCGACGGCGTCGGGTGCCAGTAGGCCCCTCGGGAAAAGCACCCGGACGGAGACCGAGCGGCTCGCAAACCACTGCCTTCCAAATGGGCTGGACCTTTCCGCACTGGGCACCCGCGAGGAACCACAAAAAAAACAGCCACAGGGGGTGCCCCCTGCCATGGCCAAAAAACACCGTTGTGAGGCGGCGGTCGCCAGCGCCTCGAAGCCTCGAGGGCAGAGGGTAGGAGGGAGAAGGAAGGCGCACAGCTGGGATCCAGACCAGACGATTGGACTGCACGACCGAGGGAGGCCTTGCCAGCCAAAACCAAGCAGGGAAAGACATGAGGCCCCCGCCAGCACTACACAGATACGCCGCACTGGCTCTGGCTTGAAGCCGTGCCAGCGGCTGGTCAACCGCGCTGGCAGGCACCTGGAGATCGCATTCCACCTCGTCTGCGAAAACGGTGGGAGCATTTCAACCGACTCCTGGGAGCTTTCGGCGCTGGCCCTTCAGGATCCTGCTTCCACTGTTGGAAGTACCCTTCAGCTGCCCGAAATGACGAGGGCGAGGAGAGGGAGGGGGAAGAATTTTTGAAGTCCCAAAACGGTGCGGTGACAGACCGCGCGGTGACCTCGAAATGCCCCAAGGCCTCACCGCACGGTCCTGCAGGCTCCAGTCGCCCGAGACATCCTCGGAGAACGACCCGAGTCCCAAAACCGTACGGTGACCACACGGTGTGGTCACCACCCGTTTGGGGACCCCCGAAAAGTTGAGCAGGGACCAGCCGTCCCGGCATTCCTATAGCTTACCACGACATGTTCTTAGAACCAAATAGCGTTCGAAGAACAAGAGCAATGCTCTGAGACCTCGAAGCCGATGTGTCAAAGCAAGACAGCCTCCACCAGAAACGTTCTGAGCACATGTTGTGCACACCCCACAAGGATCCCAGAACATTCCTTGGTGGGCCTACAGGCAAGCTGGGACGCCTCGCCACTGCTCGAAGAAGAAGAAGAAGAAGAAGAAGAAGAAGAAAAAGACGACGATCGAGGGGGCGAGAGCATGCGGAGGACGACGACGGGGCCAGCGGCTGGGGGAGGAGCCGCGGGGGCAGGCTCTGGAGTGCCCCGGCGCGTCCTCCAGCGCCACCAGCCTGCTGTTGACCTCCGGCGGCGGGGGGCGCACCGGGCACAGGGGCACGCGCGCCCGAGGCCGCCGCCCGCACAGCCGCGCCGCGCGGAGAGGGGCGCCCGGGCCGGGGGCTGGTGCTGGTGCGCGCGCCCGGCCTCGTCGGAGGCCTGGCGCGCCCCTCCTGGTCCGGCGGCGCGCAGAGGGTTTTGGGGGGTCAGGGGGGAGGGCTTCTTCGGAGGAGGCTCCTTCTTAGCAGGCGCCGGCCTTACATCTACAGACAAGGCCCGCGCCTCCGAAGGAGCAGGGGTGCTTCTGGGAAGTCCTCCCCCCTCCCCCCAACCCTCCCTCTGCGCGTGGCCGGCTGTTCTCGGGCGACGAGGCCTAGACATTGATCGCTGCGTCCTGGCAAGGTCCATCCCGAACGCAGCAGCTGCGCGCACGCCTCGCAGTCCCGGCTCGGCCAGGAGGGCGTGCACACAGCTCCTGGGCCCAGGAGGGGCCGGCCAGGGAGCAGTGGATCTGTTGCTCTTGCTCTGCTCTGCGCTGCCAGCGGTCTGTAGCGACTCGTCAGTAACAGCCGCCAGCATACTCAGCCTGATCACCTTGGATGGCCAGCGCGCTTCGGGAACTCGACCAGAGAGCCGTGGATATGTAAAGATTTAGATCGGGCATGTCCTCCCACAGGCGAATCTTGGGCGAGAAATTAAACATGGTCATCAAGAATAATCAAAACATCGTTCCCAGACTAACCCCGGCAAGCCTTTAAGAACCCCCCGGGGTTTATCGTTAGCACCGCACCGAGATTTGAAATTTTCAGGGGGTCGTTTTCGCAGAGCGATATCTTTAGCACCTCGCACAAATCAAACAATCAAATTATGTGGCGCGTCGCGCGCAGCGCAAGAAAAAATCCTTGGGGATGTCTTTGGATATGCTGTGCATTTCCTAGCACATTTCACGGACCAGCAAAGGATTGCCTCGGGAATCCCATGGAACCCCTAGCAGGGCTTAGCAGCGCTCAGCGGCGCTCAGCAGGGGCTAGCAAGGCTTGGCATGGGCTTAGCAGGGCTCAGCAGGGGGTGAGCCTGGCTTATCACTGCTATGCAGGGCTTAGCGGGAGCTAGCAGGGCTCAGCAAGGCTTAGCTTGGCCCCGAGCGCTCTCTGCGGGCTCCTCCGGTGCCGAGGTAACGCTTCCAGGGTGCCGGATGCGATATAATTTCACTGGATGAGGGGGTGGGGGTGGGGTGGGGGTGTTACCTCCTCCTCCCTCCTCCTCCTCCTCCTCCTCCTCCTCCTCCTCCTCCTCCTCCCTCCTCCTCCTCCCCTCCTCCCTCCTCCCTCCTCCTCCTCCTCCTCCTCCTCCTCCTCCTCCTCCTCCTCCTCCTCCTCCTCCTCCTCCTCCTCCTCCTCCTCCTCCTCCTCCTCCTCCGTCCTCCTCCTCCTCCTCATCCTCCTCCTCCTCCTCCTCCTCCCACTCCTCCTCCTCCTCCTTCTGGTGATTAGGATTATTATTAGCTTTCTTATTACTCTTCTTATTTTTACTATTAATAGAAAGATTCGTATTCTGCTTATTCGTAGTCTTAGTATTGTTAGTATTACCAGTATTATTATTGTTGTTATTATTATTAGTATTCTCATTATTATTACGAATCTTATTATCATTGGCATCCGTATCAGTATTCGTATTAGTATTAGTAGTAATAGTAGTATGATTAGTAATATTCGTATTATTATTAGTAGTATTCTTACTCGAATTACTATTATTACTACCATTATTACTATTAGTATTATTATTCTCATTACTATTATTATTCTGATTATTATTAGTACTACTATTATTATTATTATTATTATCTTGCTGATTATTATTCGTAGAATTATTAGTATTAGTATTGGCATTATGATTATTAGAAGTACTAGTAGTAGTAGTATGATTATGATGAGTATTATTATTAGTATTCTGAATACTGTTATCATTATTCGTATTCTTCTTCGTTTTATTATTCTTTTTCTTATTATTCTTCCTCCTCCTCCTCCTCTTCCTCCTCCTCCTCCCCATCCTCCTCCTCCTCCTTCTCCTCCTCCACCATTACTCAATATGAATACTACTCTCCCGCTTCTCCTGATGATGGCTTGGGAGAATTCGATCCCCACAACTTACTGCTTTTTACGCACAAGTTTCCCCGGAATTGGGTTTTCGCCTGCATTTGTTTGCAAAATGCTGCTCTCGCTGGGGCGCCGGCCTCATTTTCGGGCCCCGCTCGTTCCGAATCGTGCTCCCGCTGCAGCGTTGGCCTCATTTCCGCCGGCGCCCGGGCTGCACGCCCGAGCCAACGCCCGGGACGGCGCTCGCGGGCCGGGTCCGGAGCCGATTCCGGCCGGCGCCGGAAAATCTAGGTTTTAGCCCGCACGCCTTGGCGCACTCCACGTGACGGCAGCGAGGCCCTCAGGCAGCGCCCGATGGCGAGACGGGTGGGAGGTGGCGCCCAGCCCGCTGGCAACAGGCGGCAGCGACAGGCGTGGAAGTCATCATGATGTTGCAAGTACTGCAATTGAGCCTCCACTGGGACGCACAGAGACATACTAGTTGGTACTATATGTCCTCCTTGGAGGCGCACGTCCGACCCAAACATATAGTATACCCACCTTGTAGTGTATCGATTCCCGAGCCGAGCGGTGCGGCCAGAAAGCGCCCGCCACGACGCATACACTGTAAGATTTCTCGGTGCGCGCGTCGCCCGCGTCGCCCCCGGGAAGGGGGGGGGGGGAAGGCGACGCACACTGCTCTACAGGCGCAGAGGAAGCCCTGTGGCGCAGGGAGGCGGAGGGCAGGGAGGCGGAGGGTGGGGGGAGGGGGGGGGGCCACGCACGCACAGCGCTACAGTGTGCCGGGGCGGCGCCAGCCCACGGGCGACAAGCGGTGGGATCGAACAGACCTCGAGCGCTGCAGCCCGTGCAAGCAGCACGGATCGGCGGCGTCCACGGGTCTGCGCGCTCCAGGGCCGAGCCCCCGGCTCTGGGCCGGTCGACCCTGCCGCGACTCCACGATGCCGTACCCTCACGTGGCTCCACTCTGCCCCACGTTGCTCCCACTCTACTCTGCTCGACTCTGCTCTACTCCTTCTCTGCTCTGGCCTACTCTACTCGACTCTTCTCTGCCCTTCTCTACTCTACCGCTACTCAGCCCTACCGTACCCTAACTGACTCGGCTCTACTCTCCTATGCGCCGACTCTACTATACACTGCTCTACTCTACTCTAACCCTGCTCCTACTACACTCTGCTCTACTCTATTCATGATGTAGTATACTCTCGTCTGTTCTCTACTCGACTCTACTCCACTCAAATTTAGTCTACACCTGCCTACTCTATTCTACCCTACCCCACTCTTCTATACCCTACCGTATCCCGCCCTACTTTAATCGACTCTACTCTACCCTCTACTCTACCCTCCTATTATCCGCCTCCGTCTCTCTGGGCACGGAGGGGGCGTGCCCTCAGGCCCTTTCCTAGATCCTCTGAGCCTCAATCCTCACTCCTGAGGAGTCCCTTAGGGGCCCGGAGCCCAAATTGCCAAATCTCTCAGGCCTTGTCGCGGCTTGTCGAGGGCTTCCCGCGGCTTGTCGCATGAATTGTCGGACCCAGGAGGGCCCCAAGACAGGCCAAGTGGGCCCCAAGAGGCCCCAAAGTCGGTCCAAAAAGGCCCCGAGTCGACGAACGATCGTTCCAAGACGCCCAAGATGGCCCCCAGGCGGCCCAAGAGACCCCCAAGACGCTTCGAGAAGCCTCCAAGAGTACTCCCAGGAAGGTTCCAAGAAGCGACAATTATTAGGTGTTTGAAGCTTTTGGGCTCTCTCGCCTTTTCGGTTTTCAGACGCTCCAAGACGGCCCAAGAGGCCTCAAGACCGGCCGAAGAGGCCCCCAAGACGGTTCCAAGAAGCCTCCAAAGACGGCGCCAGAGGGCTTAGAAAGGCCTCAAGAGGAGCACAAGGGGGGGGACCACGAACCGAATATCCGAGCCTCTCCAGGAGGCCCTAAAAGGCCCCCAAGAGTTCCCACGAGGACCCCAAGAGATCCCAAGAGGCCCCCAAGAGGCCCCCAAGAGGCTCCCAAGACGCCCCCAAACAAAACTGCCCCGAAGATGTCCACGAGAGCGCTCCGAAAAGACCCTAAGAAACATCCGCAAGAACTCTGACACGCAACCCAGGCACGGTGGCAGGATAGGCCGAACACCATTAGACTCTTTAGACCTGGGCCAGCACGAAAACGGAAAGAGCGCCTCAGAAACTTGCCCGAGAGGGCTCATGGCAACCTTCGCTCTTGGGAGCCTTGGTGTGAAGAGCTTGTTATGTCCCCGCTCTCCGTTGGGAGCCCTGTTGTTCAGAGACTGTTACGTTGCCGCTCGCTCTCGGGAGCCGTGGTGTGACGAGCTTTGTACGTCACCGCGTTCTGGGGAGCCTTGGTGTCAAGAGCTTGTTACGTCACCGCTCCATCATGGGAGCCATGGTGTTCTTGAGCGTCTCTTGGGCCTCGTCGGGGTCTTCTTGGGGGCCCTTTTGGAGTCCTTCGGGAACCCTTTTTGGAGCAATTCTGGGCCGTCTTGGGGCCCTTTCGGGCCGTCTACGGGCGCCTTGGAAGCCTTTGGCCGTCTTGGGGCTCTCTTGGGGGCGTCTTGGGGCTCTCTTGGGAGCCTCTTTGGGCCCTCTTGGGGCTCCTTTGGGGCCGTCTTCGGGGCCTTCAGGGCCGTGTTGGGACCCTCTGGGGCCGTCTTGGGGCCCTCTTGGACCGTTTTCGGGCCCTTTCGGGGCCTCTTGGGCTGTCTTGGGGCGATCTGTGGAGCCTCGTGGGCCGTTTAGGACCGTTCTTGGCCCGAAAGGCAAGAGCCCCGAAAACCTACAACAGCCATAACAAATCAAGGCTTTCTGCCCCTGGGAACCCTCTCAGGAACCCTCTGAAGGCCTCTGGACCCGTCTTGAGGCTCTCTTGGACCGTCTGGAGAACATCTGAGGCTCTCTTGGGGCCGTCTTGGTGCCCTC